CACTAAATGTCCCTTCGTAACAGTACACAACAAACAGAAGCAATATCCTTTCCCTTTGGAGTTTGAACTTACCCTACCATCATCTACTGGTATGCAGGTTATTTTTGGCACACTGGAAGAAAACCCTCTAAAGGGTAAAGCTGCATCTGCCCAGTGTTAGAGAGGCACTCCAAAAAACATGGAAGGATGGGCTGTTATCCATTGAGTGAGACTTAGTCTGGGGCTCCATCACCTAAGGCAGAGAAAGTGTATGATATACTTGCATTTCCTAAAGGTCATCTGTCAGTTTCCAGAGAAGACCCAGCCTGGCTTTCTTCACAGCCCTAGGCACACCAATACAACAGTGAGAAGCACAGCACACTCAGGTTCAGAAGCTTTCCTATGCTTCAGGCAGGCTTCATACAAAGCTGGCTTTCCAGCCACAGAAAACTGTCACCGCAGGCTGCAGGGGTGCTAAGGTAACAAAAAGCACATGGAAGGAAGAGCTCACCCTGCTTACATCCTTCTGAGACTACCAAAGGGGACAGCAACATCAAGTTTACACTCCCCACTGGAATTACTGACTCCCATGGCAAGCCTGTAAGCTTTAGGTCAACAGCCATAACACTGTACTATGGCAGAACACTAGAAAACATTGAGCACACACACTGCCTTCATCTGAACTGCTGAGACCATCACGGACAAAGCAAGCGTAAGAGTGACTGCTGTTTACAAACTACAGAAGGGGAGAAGTCTTGTGCCTCTTCACATGGGACAGGTGAGTCTGGGAATCTCTCCAACAGAGACAGAAGTTGTACACTTGTCTTCTGCCACCAAAAACTTGGGATGCACTTGCCTTCTTCATGTCCTCACAACAGAAGCAGCCACCTCAGAAAGTGGCAGATAGGCAAATTGAAAACAGCCAGTGATACACAGCCTTAAAATGGTTTAACAGTTTTCAGAGATTCCTCTAGCACTAGCACACCACCTACTGCAATACTGAGAGTCAGTTCACAAATGAAGGGCTCTTCCTTGGTGGTTTGAGGTTATGTTCCATCAGGGACATATGCATCAAGTCCATGAGAACAAAGCAGGGAAGCTCTCTGCGGCCAACAGCTCTCTCTACCCTTGCAGTATCCACCTTCCCATGCCTCAAAGCAAAGCACCTCTCACAGTCTTCACAGCAAGCCAGGCAGGCACCAAAGCAAGGCAGAACCCAGATTCTGTTTCTCAAGCCACATTTGTAGCTGTGCCAACGGATTCAGGTGGTTTTCAGCTCCAGCCAGGCAGTCAAACAAGAGCGGACAGACTGGCTAACACAGGTGCTTATATGGATACAACAGGGGAAGAAAAGAATGCACTGGCTGGCAGTCTGACCGGACCAGACTCTAGTACCTGGCAGAGGACACTTAAAGCAACCCCTGAAGCCACGCAAGAGATGCCAAGCAGTTCCCAGATCTCCACTGTACTTTGTAATGCGTCTACTACAAGCATCAATATAAAACACCGACCCTGGTGTAAACCAGACCTGAAGAGACACAAACATTCACAATCAAGTATCCTAGCCACTCCAAATCCACCCACATCAAACAAAGTCCTCCTTCAAACATGATAGGAAAGTTAAGAAATAACGAACATTATTTCTCCCAGAAGAGTTTGAATAGAATCACCTCTGTTATAAAGTCACCTTATGCCTTACACACAAAAGCCACCTCCTTAAAAGCAAGTCACTCCTTGGGCTAAAGAAAATGAGAGGACCTTTTGCCTGTGTCCCTAGTATCAGATGCCCACATGTGACTGTATTTGTAAGAGATGTTCTCAGGCATCATGAACTGCCTAGGTGTTAAGAATGACAGGAAAACTCACTGATAACTAAAAGTTTCTCCTTTATTTCAAGAGATTCTGCTTCTTCTTTTCTGCTGGAAAATTGGAGCTGTCAGACAATACTCATCTGCAAATGCATCTCCTCTAAGATTCCTGCAAAAACAATGCAGCAAAACTAAGTTCGGATTCTATTTAATCTCCCACTCCCTCCTCTATTTACAACAGTTCAACTCCCAACTACTACATTAGATCCTGCTTTGAACTGTTTTGTACTACTAGTATCAGACCCTTCTTCAAAGGCCATCCTGGAACTTTCTGCCCAAAAGAACCCCTGCCATATCCTGCTTTTTAAGAACGGTCACAGTGCTTCACTGCATTAAGCTGAGAAGTGGGACACATACACAGTTCCTGGGCTCATGTTGCCTGCGTTTCAGAGGTGGTGGCCTTTCACATGCTGGGTGAACAACTGTTAGTCCAGTGCTGAGGTGGGAGCGTGCCGTGCTGGTAACATTCTGAAGACATCGATGAGAAGGCTCAAAAGATTCCCCTGTTCAAAGAGTTTCAAGGCACGTTAGTCCATTATACACCCAACACTTCAAGAAAACACGGATCTTAAGGCACAATAAATACAAACAGACTAGTAGACCTTAAGCAGCTGCCAGCTGTACCTATGACATCTCTCCATTCAAGAAAGAGTAAGAAATACTTAAGCTGATCTTCTTCAAGCCCAGAACTGCCATTAAAAAAAGAATATCCAGCTTTCTCTGGCAACATGCTCTTTATTCGTAGCTCTGATTTCCTGTTTCCCTTCATCCTTAAAACATTGTGAAACACAAACACCTAATGGTGGTTTTAAGCAGTTTTTCAAATAGTATCCAGCTTCAGTTACCTCTTTGCTGACAAAGAAGCAGTTGGATAAATGACACTGTCATATCAGGTTTCCAGCACCATTTCATGTGCATTTGTAAGAGAAGCTAGCTTGAAACAGTCTATTTCCCTAGAACAGTAGTCTAGGAAGTACAGAAATCGATCAGGACACAACCCTGTCCAAACTCCCCTTACCAACTAGTTTTGCCCTTGGTGTAGGATGCCCCACCTCTCTTTCATTCTGGAGTTCCTGCTCAGGCTCTGCCAGATACCTCTCAGGTCCAGGTCTTGCGTGCTCTCCCCATGCACGTGTTCTGGCCACTGAGCTGCTCTTGCTGGGCGATTTATGGTGATGAGGCATGTGGAGGCCATCATCTGAATCCACATCAACACTGCCTAGCCTGTGGCCAGGACTCAGATACACCTTCTGTGTCAGCCCCGCTGGTAGCTGGGTCAGTCACCTTCTTCAAGCAACAAGCTGTCACCTGACATCCATTCTGAGAAGTGTGGCCCTTACCGTGACAGGACTCAGCCAGCACCTCTGGCTTTCCTTGGAAAGTTTTCACTTGTGCTAGGCTTGGTCTGGAGGCTTCTCCAGCACCTTCCAGCTTTCTCTCCTGATACTGCTCCTTCCTTACTCAAGAGCCTTTTACATACAACTTCCCTCGGGTCAGGCACATTGTCTGAATTCAATTGAGCACCTGCAGAATCTCCCTGCCTCCACACCAGCTCCAGTTCTCCCATGCTCCCTTTATGTTGAGAAATACTAGGATTTGTGTTTTCAACATTACATTCTTCTAGGCTTTCCCCAAGTCTAGCTTCCTCCTGTTTGGAAAAGACTGTTGTTGAATGAGGTGTCTCTGGAAGGGCAAAACCCTAAGGACACACTGGAAGAGCCCTTATCTCTGAATAGCACTGCCTGTTGGACATAGTTTTGTGGAACACATTGCCAGATTGTCTACACTCTTCACTTGAAGAAACAGTCTCCAGCTCTGGCACTATGTTAACAAGGAAAAAAAAAAAAAAAATTCAACTCAGAACAAAGAGCCCTACTGAACTATAGATTAACAACCCAGAGAAGATTTCCTTACTTTCTAAATCCATCAGTCAGACCAACTGCAGAGTCTTCTAAAAAGATTTGCAAGACCCAGTGTGTGGTCACCAAGATAAGCTTGAGTAAATACGGTTTCCAGAAAGCATCCTGAAATAGGCTACAGTTTGGGTATTCTCCTCGCAGGAAAACATGAGTCCTTGTCCTGGTTTCGGCTGGGATAGAGTTAATTTTCTTCCTAGCAGCAGGCATAGTGCTGTGTTTTGGATTTAGTAGGAGAAGAATGTTGATAACATGCTGATGTTTTTAGTTGTTGCTGAGTACTGCTTATGCTAGTCAAGGACTTTTTCAGCTTCCCATGCTCTGCCAGGCGCACAAGAAACTGGGAGGGGGCACAGCCAGAATAGTTGATCCAAACTGACCAAAGGGCTATTCCATACCATATGACATCATGCTCAGTATATAAACTGGGGGG